AACCATGTGCCTGTAATGGGAAGAGAGTTCCAGGCGGTTACAACATCCAGTGCAAAGGCCCTGTAGCAGGAGTGTACTTGGCATCTTAGAGGAAAAACTGGAAAGCCAGTGGGCCCGGAGAGCCGAAGATGAGGTCCGAGAGGTAGGCAGGTTAACACCACGTTACAAAGGCCTTGTAGCCATGGAAAGGATTTCAAAGTTGCCTGAAGGACAGAGTCAGGGCCACTGTCACATCTCATCTAGCAGAAGCTCAGTCATACAGGCCGACCACCACCAAAGCCTTGACTTCCATGCAATTAATAGCAGCAGTTAGCAGCCGCTGAACACTCACTCTGTGCCAGGCTTTGTGCTAATTGCTTTACATGCATGATCTCAACACATTCTCACTGGAGGCCTGCGAGGAAGACGCTGTAATTTTCATTTTACAAATGAGGACACTGAGCCGCAGGGAGGTTCAGACCCTCGCCCAAATTCTCAGAGCCAGGAGGGCAGAAGGGAAGCTATGGGCTCTTTCCACAAAATTCTATTTGAACAGAGGATTGTGTGGGCGCACACCCATCCAAAATAACCTCTTTCTCTCCTAAACTGGTCCACTGAAATTTTTTTTGTATATTCATTTTCCTTGAAATTTTAACACACAGTAAAGGAAGGTTTCTTTATATGAGGCCATTCTGAACTTCAAAAGCAGACACAGGCAATCATCCTGAGAGACTGGGTCTTCTGCGATCTGGCAATTTGCTTTAACAGCGCATCAGCAAAACCCAAGCTTTATGTGAATCATGTCTAATGGGAATTGTGTCCCTGAGTCAGGGACAAGGCAGGGCTGGGAGGGTGGCCAGTGGAGTGGAGTGGAGTGGGGAGCCAGGCAGGCAGGGATCTGAATCTGGGAGAGGCAGAAGTCAAGTGCAGCGAGGTCAAAGGTCAGCAAAGGTGGAATGGGCAGGCAGGTATGAACAGGCCAGGGTATGTTTAAAGGAAGTCATTTCAGGCAGGCGTCAGGAACCTAGTCGGGGCTAGACTAGGTAGGGAACAAGAGAGACTCATTCACTGATTTGTTTAACTTTCGCTGACCTAGCAGAGAGGTGGAGCAATAAGGGGTCAGTTATTCAGGCTACAGTAACTCACATGTGAACATGAACAAACACTTGGCTAAAGTAGGCAGTCAATCAGTGTCAACCATTCCTTTCAGGGTTGCAACTCCCTGACCACTCCCTGTATCCCAACTGTTTTAAATGATTCCTGTTGGGTTGCAAATGATAGAAGTACCTATAAACTATTTTAGACAAAAAGGAGGGTGTATTGGTTCCTAGAACTAAACTGTGGAAGAGCTGGAGTGTCTCTGGGCTTCAGGGGCAGCTGGCACCAGACCAGACTCTTTTCTGGCCATCTTTCATCTGAGTGTCCATTTCATTGTCTCCTATTGGTCTCCTCCATGAAGAAGGAAACCAGGCCACCAGGCCCAGCTCCTAGTATTGGAGAGGAACTGAAGTTCCCTCATGGGGAAGAATTCTGATTGGCCCCGTGTGGGTCAAGTGTTCAACTCTGATTCGCTCAGTGTGGTCAGGTGCTCAGTTCTGATTGGCCCAGTGTGGTTAGGTGCTCAACTCTGATTGGCCCAGTGTGGGTCAGATGCTCATCCTTAGGCCAATAACAAAGGCATGTGAGGAAAGATGGCAGCTCCCATTTCAACTACATGCTGAGAAATTAGATGGGGCTTATTCTCCAGGAAAGAAAAAAAAAAAAGGAGGAAGAGGTACTAAGTTTCCAAAACTTAAATGCTCACTATGGTCTACCCTTTGGTGACCTGTGTACACACCCTTTTTCCGCAAAGCAGAATGACAAACCTATTCCCACCTAATACCACACAGCCATTTCATGCTGGACAGAGAACGCACTTAGTCTCCTCCCAACAGATGACCGGCAGCCAGAGCAGGGCCCAGGAGGCAGGCCATCTAGTGACACCTGTTCCTCTCCACGAGTTCTGGATATGAAAGCCTGTGAGCCTGAGAACCGTGACAATGGTTAATGGGTTAAATCATCGCCTCCTAACACACCAATGTAAATAATGAAGGGACAGAAAAATACATGAGGAAAATATAGGAGGAGATAGTGGCCAAACTTGATGAATACAGGGGGAACAAAATACTGCATAATCACAATGACGACTCAGAGAAAAAGGAAGTGTAATAGGCAAGAAATGGACTAAGTTGAAGAAACAGATCCAAATACAGTGATTCGCACAAGATGGCTGCTTGCTTTTCTCTCGTC